GTTTTCCCTATAATAATAATTTCTTCAGGTCATCTTTGTGCCATATGTCTATTCAGTGAACAAAAGAGCAAAAAAAGACATGTCTTTTATCTTAGTCTATCAACACAGGGAAACAAAGACCCAGAATATTGTTTTCATAGCTCTATCAAGATGAATCAAGGTCAGCAAATTTAAACATTAAACCGAAACCAGTAAGATGAAATTTAACAGAAATAAATGCAAAAAAAATCCATATTTGGGTTACTGAAACCAATCATACCAACTCAGGATTCATAAGAAAAGAAATTCATTTCTTCAAAAATGTTTATTGAGTGCCACCTATGTTCCAGTCACTGTGCCAAGTGCTGGGTACATAGCAGAAAAAAACACAATGTCCTTGATGTCATAAAACTTAAATCTGATTATAAAGAAAGATCTAAGGGTTTTAGCTAATCACAAGCTTAATGTGAGTCATCAAAGTAATATGGCAACAACAGCAACAGCAGGAAAGCAAACAAATCCTAACCTGATTTTACGTGCACCAAGAGAATTTTATTCAGTGACATCATAGCACACCTCGTACTGCCCTATGCCGTTCCGCTGCCATCAGCAGCTTGGAATTAACCATAGGTCCCTTGTTTCAAGAGGGACTTTGACAAACTGAGTAGTATATTTAGAGAATGTAGTCAGGCCTACAAGAGGTGTGAGAAGTGACTGAAGGAACAGCATATGTTTAGGCTGGAAGACCAATGGTAAGAGATATGATAGACATCTTCAAATATTGAAAGAGCTATCTGTGCAAGACTTGATCACACAGGTCTGGAGCTCACCAGGTAGAAATTACAAGGCAGCAGGAAGAGCCTCACAAGAGAACTGCTTCCTTGATGATCTCCAAGATGATCTCCAAGAAGGCCTCCTTCCCTAGGGAAAAGCCATTCCATCCTCAGAGATGATGCAGAAGACAATTGTGCTGTCTGAGATCAAGAGATCAGACTTGACTTTGAGTTTCATGAGCTGTAAAATCTAGAATTTCATAGCCTATCCCGCATTAATCAGAAAGGCAGTATTTAGGAGTACAGCCTTTGGAACAGGATAGAGCTAGATTTCAGGCCTGACCTGCGAAAAGTTACTTGCAGACTTCAAGCCTCATTTCCTCTCTTGTAAAAGGAGGGTGGTAATAGTTCCTGCCTCATTCCTGCAGTAAGGATTCAATGAGAAAATATAAAGTGCCCAATAAAGCACCAGGCCCCTGGTAAGGCCTTAATAAATGATGGGTAATGGTAATATTAAATGCTCTCCATTTTATTTGACCATCTTTCAGTTTATTTAGGTAAATCATTTTGCTGTCTGTAAATCTGCAAACCTCTATTATACTAAAGCAATTATTTAGCAATTTAAAAATGTAAAGTAGAAGTTCTTTAGAAAATTTTCAAACGTTTTCTCTGGAGAAATTAGAGAAAAGGGGAATACGTAAGGCTGCAATTTATGGAGCGTGTGATCACACTGAGGTGAAGCCAGAAGTTGTTGGTGTATGGAATGGCAGAGCTAGGTTGGGTCATGGCAACCTCAGAGACTTCCTTTCTCCTTGGAGAGACCCCCACCAGGCACCAGAATTAAATATCAATCCAGCAGACCGATTTTATGAGAATTAAATTATGTCAGACCAATTTAATTTCCTTCTGTAACAGAGGGACAGACTTTGGTGACACAGGAAAGCAATGGATATCAGATACTGTGACTTCAGCTATGTCTTAAATTCTAGCCTGTATGAGTCAAATCTAAAAACTTAATTCAGTTTCACTGAGTAGTAGAGATGATCTCCAAAAACAGGAACCACAGGCTCATGATCCCGTTTTGAGTAAGGAGAAGAGGCAAGAAATGCTCTTCTTTGTGGAACCGGCAGAAAACCATGCCCCCTCCCTATCTGCAGTGAAATTCAGAATTTATTCAGCAAATATTTGCCAAACACCTGTCATGTGACACACCCTCAATCTGGATTGGGCTCAGAGAAATTAAGTGAGATTTAAAAGCAGATACGCTCAAATGGGACTTTTCTTGAACAGATGTGGTTGTGGAGATGAGGTTGTGAGTTGAGGTAGGCTACAGAAGAAGTGGAGTCTTCGGGTTGGGCCAGGTGTTTTAATGGAGTAGGGTAAAGTTGGGGAGAACTTTTTTAAGAGAAGTTGTGAGATCAGAAAGGCCTTTGGGAGAATTTAGGCTAAACTGATTCAAGTGGGAAAACCTCAGTAGCAAGAACTACAAAGAAGAGGAATAAGGGCATCTAGGAAGAGCTGACAGGATGGAGGATAGGTTTAGACGAGCGTCCATTCGTTTTGAAAACTTTTACAAAGTCCCAGGTGTGCTCAGCACAGAAGATGCAAAGATGACTTAGACTCACCCCTGGCCCTTGGAAGTCCTGATGTTGAAGTAGCCAGGAGAAAAGGTGGCTTCAGTTTGACAACAAAGGAGAATCATTAGGGTCCCAGAAAGAAGGGATTCTTGCAAACTGAGGGTAAAGTCTGTGACCGCTTGAAGGAGTGTGCAGACAGGGATGATTCCCCTGAGAGTCTCATTTGCCTCACGTGGCTGACTTCCAGAGACCTTTTCCAGCTCTAGAATTCTAGTAGTGAAGCCATTTTTGTTGATTTTACAATCTGGACTCTCCTGAATCTGGCTCTTTCATTTACACCTACCCACGTCCCCTGTCAGAAAACAACTGCTATAAACAGGAAAAAGTGGTATTCTGGCTTCCTGTCGCAACACAGCCACTGGGGGCTATTAGGTGTCCCCCAGCAGCTTGGGGGTAAATTCATGAGTAAAGCACTAGCAGGGGGTGGGTGACACATGAGTGAGGGGCAGAGAGGATGAAAGGAATACAGGGTCCTGTCCAATCTCCCAGGGTGGCTGAAATCCAGGAGATCTGTAGCTTTCAGATGACCCATTCTGACTAAAGATGACCAGCTCCTAGTCTGAAAATTCCACAGGAGTCAAGCCACTCCCAAAGGCTCAAGGGAATGCCAATGCACCCCAAAGGAAGGCCTTGATTTAATCTTGGTCTTCAGAAATACCCTCTCCCCTAAGGCTAACAGAAATTCCTAGGGAATTAAAATGACCCTGCCCATACAAGCATCTTGTCAATTTCAGGGTGCTGTCCTGGGGCTAAAGTGGAGCTCCTCCTCTGGAGGATGCAGGCCCTCAGGACCACCTGTCCAGCAAGGCTGGGTAGGGTACCATGTTTGGCAGGGTACCATGAATGTGTCTGTCCCAGACCCTACGTGTTGTAGGGACCAGATCTCATTATGAATGGGATATGAATTAGGATGGCAGAGTAATAAATCAAGGAGTGACAGAAAAGTTGTGAGGAACATATATGTACATATAGAGCCATCCCATAATCACTCTTTCATACCCATACACATGCATACACACACATACACACACACCCCATATACTCCCAGTCACCATGGCAACTATTCCTTAAAGCTGTACTTAGGGGGTTTTGTTGGTTTTTTGTTTGTGTGTTTGTCTGTTTTTTTAATGCTAGATCTTTTCACACTTATTTGTTTGAAGGACATCTCTGGCTTTGACTCTCTGCTGAGAATCACCACACCTCCTTGGGAAACTGTCACATATAACATTTGCCAGGTCCCTCTAAAAGTCTCATATCTATCCTGATGCTGACACTGAATTCAGCCAACACACCATTTGGTAACTTGCTAAAAGCATTGGCAATACAAAATAACCATTATGACTGCCACTGTGAGTCAGAAAAGCTAGAGACAAATATAGTATAATGCCTTGTACAGCTTTCACAGACAGTCCTCAATTTTAAAATAAAAGCAAGTCACAAAGTTAATGTGGAAAAAGAGCCAGCATTGGTGCTTAAAAATGGAGAAACGTATTCTCGATTAAAGTGACAGCTCTTATTTAGTAGGCATGCATTTAAGATTCTTAACCTTATAAAAGTACTTTGAATTTCCATCCTGCTCCATATAAGATACATTATGCTCAAATTAACCCTATTTTCCATTTTAGATTTCATTATTCAAAAAATGCCAATAACATCAGTGTGTCAAGAAACACTTAAAACATTTTTATCCAAATATTGACCTAGCTTTGGACAACATCCATGTAAAAATAGTGAGGTGTTTTTCCTTTTAATGTCATCAATGTTTATGATTAAAGGTCAGTCTGTGGCAACAGTTTGCATCTCTGCACTATAATTATTTGCTCTGCTTTAAAAAAATATCCTGACTTGTGACCTGACCAACAGTTCTTTGCATCCACCTTCTACCAGATTTCTGCTGGATGGGGAATGACCAAGGCAAGAGTATTTAATTTATAGTCAAAACCCACGAGTATGCCCTGCCTCCTATAAAGCATTGGGACACCATGGGGTAGTGAGAGAAGTCCTTTGCTATGAAACAACTGCTCAAAAAGTAAGCTAAAGTGCAGAACCAGCGATGGGGCGGGCAAGCATTTATTTTGACCTGAACGAGGATTCTGGTCTTTGAAGCCCGCCCGAGAGTGGGCTCATTTCCTAGAAGGGGAAAAGGGGACAAGAAGACTCCACCCAGGCGATCCCAGGCAGGCACCTTGTCTATAAATCCAGGGAGAGAGGCACCAGGTGGCCGATGGATCAGAAGTCACCCGGCTGGGTACGCAGGTGGCAGGGATGGCGGGGTGTGGGGGCAGATGGGCCAAAGCGGGGCGGGGGCGGCCCAGGCGGATCAGGGGGTGCGTGGCTGAGGGACAGGTGTGCCGGGGAGGTGGGCTGTCTTCCCACCCACCCGTTCGCCGACCAGCGAACAAGCCTTGGCCAGGCCAAGCAGCATTGGGCTCCCCGAAGCTGGGGGATCGGTGCAGCCTCCCGTAAGGGGCTCCGGCCGACCCCGCGCCCTGGCCTTGCGTCCGCGAGTCAGCGGGCAAGTCCTGCCTTTGCCTCCCCCCAGCCACACGCACCGCGCCGAGACGCCCGGGGAAGCGGGCGGGCGGGGATCTGCAGGCGCCGGGCCACTTACCCGCGTGCAGGCCGCCCGTCTCGGGAACGCTGTCCGGGGCGGCGGCGCTGGGCGGCGCGTCCGAGTCCGTGTAGGTGAGCCAGGTGGATTCGGTCTCCCGGGTCCAGCTCTCGTAGTAGCGGGGCTCGATAGCATCCGCCCGGCTCCCGCCGCAGCCCATCCTACCGCGCCTCGGGAGCGCCAGGCGGCCGTTCGGGCGACTCTGGCGGCGGCTCAGCCCCGGCCCGCGAAGAGGCGGCGGCGGCTACATCGTGTACCCGCGCCCGCCCGAGCTGCAGCCGCGCCGAGCTCCCGCAGCACCCGCCGCCCCTCGACCAGGCCCTCTCTCCGCCCGTCCCTCCTCTCCGCCTCCAAAGCCCTCCCTCCCCTCCGCTCCCCACCGCCCGGTCCTCACCTCCCCGCACCCTCGCCGCCCCAGGGCCCCCGCTCCCTCGCAGTCGACCCGGGCGCAGAAGCGGTGGGAGGAGGGCTGGGGTTCCCGAGAGGCTCGGACCCGCGGATCGAGATTACAGTTCCCAGTCTCTGGCCCATCCATCCATCCATCTGTCGATCCGTCTGTCCATCCGTCTACCCATCCATCCGCTCACCCACTCATTCGTTCATCCTTCCTTCCTTCTTTCCAACCATCCTGGAAAGAACTGAAACGCTTATCACGGGACCCCAAGCTTTCTGGCCACCTGTTACAAAAGCAATGGAACTGACGACGGCCACCCTGCAAAACTGGACAGAGTATTGCTACTAAGAATTAAGGAGCAGTCAGAGCCTATGACTTTCTTATCGGATTGGGGAGTCAGGAGTAGGCCTCTTTTTAAGAGAGTTGGGCTAGGCAGTGTCAGTAACACCCCTTCCAGCTGTGGGACTTCATGATCCTCTGAACTTTAAACTCGAGAAAGCAATAGATTAGATCACCTGGAACCAGGCAGCATCCTAGACTCCCTTCGGAACCCCCTCGCTGGGCAGGGCTTGGAGGCATAGCAGTCCCTCCAAGCCTAGGGTAGCCTTGACATTCCCTGGGTCCAGTTGTCAGCCTTTCTCTTCCCGGTGCACCCTCAGGTTCTTGGGGGTTCAGACCTAGAGCCCAGACTTGGGTAGGCCACTGAATTTACCTGTCCCCAGAATTCACAACAGGTGGTGAAAGATGAAAATCTTAGCTTTCAAGAGGAGGATAGGGAAGGGAAGAGTTTGGAAGAATAACTCTTCAATGATGAGGCTCTGCTAGAATATGGTGTTAAGTAAGTACCATATTCATTCATTCAATGTTTATTTACTAAATTCCTCTTGTGACAAAACACTATTCTAGTAGACATAATGCCTATATAATATATTGTGTATGTTATCCATTGTATGTAGACTATAGGGCATGCTGTTTAATATAGCATGTAAAGCATAGGAATATAGATATAGTGCTCAGTATATCCTATATAATTTACAGAATATACTAGAGTACATTGTCTATAACATTTAGTATTTAGCATCCAGTAGGTAGGGCAAGTTCAGAACATTGCCTGGCACATAGTAGGCCCTCAGTAAATGTCCAGTGAATGAATAATAAATTATCCTTTGTAGTAATTTGACTCACTTAAATTATTGCAATTTGGGATAAAGATGATTCAGTTGAGGGTGGAGCTGTCAAAATCCCTCTGGCAGGTACTATCCAGAATCCATAATGCAGAAGGGAGCAAAGATTCATGAAACTGAGCCCAGGGTCTCCTCCTCATGCTGAACCCAGCACCTGCTCCCACCCCAGGGCTCAGGCTGGCCTCCTCTGCAGGCTTTGTTTCTCTTTTTGAGACGACCCTGGGAGGCCTCTTCAACCTTGTTTTGGGTGTAAGGTAGAAGAAGTGCAGTAAGCCAGGAAGTGGTGGCTTCCCTAGTCCTTTGGAATTCAGATGGCCTATGAGCCTTTTCTTTCCCCCCTGAATATTCTGATTTCAGAAGAACCAGCTTTCAGGGAGAGAGAATAATTAACATCTCTAGCAGAGCCTGTGCTTCCCTCAGTTCTACAGGACAGTGCTCCTTTCATAACCAGCTACTTTGTGATGTTACCACCCAAAGAGCAGACAGGCCAGAAAGAGTGTCTGAGTTACACAGTCCTGGGGGAGATCTAGAAAATGAAAGAAACTGAAAGAGCTGGAGCTTGGTAAGCAGAGGAAACGGAGCAAGCATGAGATGAAGTGGAGGGGTATGCTGAGGCCAAGTGGAAACCCACATGCCCATATGTCTACATTGTAAAAGCTATAAACCAAGTGAGCAAGTTTAATTGAAACATGTGATGTCCTCTTACCTTGACAAGTTATCTTCATAACAACCTAAAAGACCAGATTCTAATGTAGAGTTCTCTCAATCTTTGGAGTTCTGCACTGAACATGGTAGAACAGGTGGAATTGACCCACCTACTCCTTTTTCTATCCTCAGTCCAGTGCTACTCCACACAGGTCCTTGTGGGCCCACAGATCTAAGGTCTGTCCATATTCCCCTCCCACAGATAGCTGCCTTGACCATCCCTCTGGCTGAGGAGCATGTGCCTGAGGGGTACAGTCTGCCCTCATGGGGTTTGCTTCCAGTGCAAGCCCAAATAGGTTTGGGGGGCTTGGAGAAGAGAATTGCAAGGTCTCGAGTACCCAAAAGTGGAGTTAAAAGGGATTGAGACTCAGGCTCCAAGTAGGTGCATTCTGTGGTCCCTGGATTCCTTGGCCATAGAGAGGACCAGGGCTAGAGAATCAGAGTGGGGCCCCTAGAGCAGGGGCCAAGAGCAGGGACCCCTCTTGCCAGGCCCTGTCTACTTATTTGAATGGAATTATGAACATTTCCAGAATAGGGATGGTTTATCAAGTACTACCTGGCCAAGGTTGAGTGTGGTCACTCATTTCACATACATTTCAGATCATCTATTGTGTATAGTTTAGGACATATAGTTATTGTGTATAGTTTAATGACAAAGACATGGTGACATGCTTGGGATCTTCAAAAGGGATTAATTTCATATCTTCATAGAGTGAGTGCTCATCAAATATTTGCTTAATGAATGAATGGCAAAAGGCAAGGTGAGGATACACAGTTAAAAGTGCAAGTTCAAGAGCCTGACTTGCTGAGTTTAAAGTTTGACTCTGCCACTTAAGTGGATCGTCAAGTTACTTAACCTCTTTATGCCTCAGTTGCAGCATCTTTAAATGGGGATAATGAATTATGTCAGTATGTGTAAAAGGCCTCGAAGAGTGTCTGGCACATAGAAACACTCAATGAATGTTGCTATCACAGCACTTTTGGGGCAAGAAGCAATAGTGTCATTTCTCTCCCTTAAGTGGGAAATCCCTGAAACTATTATGTGTTTTCACATGAGATAATGTTTGTGAATTTGCTTAGCACACTGCAGAAGTTTGGTAAATAGATTTCTTTTTCCTTCCCTTATGATGTTACTACTACTAACAAACAACCTTCCTGCAAATACATTTTTTAACCACCATTTCTAAGTAATCATCATTGACAGAGCAGTTCCATTTTTTCACAGATTCTCTTTCTTGCCATTACATAACAACATAGATTCTGAGACATTCAGAAGCCAGAAAAACTTAAAAAAGCAGCCAATCCAGTCCTTTCATTTTACCAACTAGGAAATCATAGCTCAGAAAGTTGTAGAATTGTCCAAGGTCACACAGGAAATGTTACCTCTGGCAGAGCTGAAGTTTCAGCTGGAGCTGGGGGCCTCTGGCTGCTGACACTGTGCTCTTTTAGTTAGAGCCCTTTAGTTGGGAGGGAATTTTCTCCTAAACCTTTAGTAATAAATGTTGGAAATTAAATGTAAATATGAAAAATGTAATAAATTATCTTAAACCCTCTGTTCAGAATCTGTAGCTTGACTGTCATGAATTGGTTGTCTTCATCAAGTCTGAAAGAAACAAAAATAAATTCTTCTAAGGGGAAAGGCTGCAACAGAGAATTGGAAAACCAGAGCCAAAGCCATCCAGAGCAATGAAGTAAATTATACCTGTAAGAACTACTGCAGAGTGGCATTTGCTATGTGATAGGATTCTCAAAATAAAAATATCTTTGGCTTTAAAAACCCCTGTGACTGGTACCACCTCTGGCTCATTTCTATAGAAACTGGAGCAGAGGCCTGTAGTGCTTCTCCCTCCAAGGTCTCATTCCTGTGGCTTGGCATCACTGGGCTCTACCCAACTATTGTGAGCTGTAGAAAGGAGGCCTTCAGTAAGGTGGACAATCAGCACAGAACAGAAGGCTCAGCAGGAGCCTAAACCTGCCTTTAGAATCAAACATCTGAAAAGGAATAAAGATAGATTCACTGCCTTACAAGTTTCCATCTTTTTCCAAGTGAAAAAGTAGCATAAATGAGGAAATAGTAGCAATAATTCTGGCCAACAGGGTGACAGACCCTAGGTAAATATCTTTGGTCTTGAATGCCAAATCTCAGCAAGTTTCCCTGCTACCCTAGATTCAGCGAGCATGCCAGAACTGGATGTCCATGCCCTCCCTCTGAAGGATTTTAAAGCAGTTTCCACAGAACATCCCTCCAGGTCCTTGATCTTGGCTTGTTGACACATCCTCACTGATCCACAAATTGTCACTTAGCTGTAAAGGAAGAGGGCTCAAAGTTAGCACCAAAAGGCTCAATATCTGACTTCGCTCCCCACATCTGGAGGAAAAAATCAGAAAATATCACTTGGTATGAGCTCGTTCTTGCATCTCTTGCCTTGAAAAATGACTGCTTTCCCCAGGGAATGAATGGTACACCTGGAATCCAGGTGACGTGGACAGATCAGGTAAACATCATCACAGAGAGTAAAGAAGAAAGGAAAGCAAATATTACAACAGCAAAAAAAATGAGTGAGTTTTTTATTTGGTTTAAGAGGTTAGAAAAGGTGAAAAAGGGAATGTTGCAAAAAAACAAAATTAAGTAATTGAATATGTTACAAAAAGTTTATATAGAAAATGTAACATACGTGGGGGGAGGACTCAAGATGGCGCTGTGAGAACAACCCAGGATTGAAGCTCTCGCTGGATGCGCAGAGAGGGTGAGTCGGGGACGCATTTCCAGACGGATCTTAGTTGCCCACAGAACGGGGAAATTCCCAGGTATAAAAGAGACGCGGGACGCCAGGCAGAGGTTTTGGCTGGTGTAGCCGGCAGCTGGTGTGGCTGCGGCCCGCGGCGGAGTGCAGAGGCGCTCCACAGCGCTCCATACAAAAGCGCACTGTTACAGGTGCCCTGTTGAACCGGCAAACTGAGACCTGAGAGGGCTGAACTTGAGACTGAACGGGACTTGGACAGTGAGCCAGCCCAGGAAATCCCAGGGACACAGCATTAGGGGTAGCGCGGTGCGACAAACAAAACGGCGATTCCAAACGCTCCTGGTGAGGAGGTTCCCTTAAAATGCAGCTCCGTGGGGGAGGGGCGTCCACCATTACCGAGGCAATCAGCCCGTACTGAGGTACATGCCCATTGCTGCCTGCCATTGCCGAGGCAACCCAGTACAACAGAGAGACTCCGCCGCAGGGCGTAGCCCGTGGCAGCAGGGCGGAGACCGCAGCAGAAGGGCAGAGCCTGCAGCAACAGGGCGAACCTCACACCAGCAGGGTGGAGTCTCGGCAGGCAAATAGTGACTAGACTGCCTCCTAGCTGGGCAGGACAGCACAGCAGACACTCAAAAACAAAGCCCCAACCCCTTCAGAAAGAGCAGCTGGGAAAAAAAGGGTTTTTTTTATGAGTTCTGTTGCAGCAGAATTAAACATAGCAGCCTAAGAGCCCTGAATGAACAATAGAGCTGCCAGCTCAGCAATTGAGCTCCTATAAAGTACAGACTGTCTCCTCAAGCAGCTCCCTGACCCCTCTATATCCAAAAGACTGACATTTGGCAGGCATCATTCTGGGACAAAGATAGCAGAAAAAGAAACTGGTAGCACCCCTCACTGTTCCACAGCTGCTATAGGTGCACCCCAGACAAGCAGGGCCTGGAGTGGACCTCAGCAGTCGTACAGCGAAGGGGCTAGACTGGTAGACGGAAAACAAAGTAACAGAAATACTTCATCATCAACAATCTGGGCGTCCACCCAGAGACCCAATCGAAAAGTCAGCAACTACACAGACGACAGTTGGACAAATCAACAAAGATGG